AACTCACAGTGACCCTGTATAGGCTTTCCGAGGAGCAGGTGGTGGGTTTAAACCGCTGATGTTGAGGTTAGCAGTCCAGTGCATATCCTACAGCACCATAGCAGGACTCCTAAATACAGTATGTTGTTGTTGTTGTTAAGCACCGTGAAGTTGGTTCCGACTCATAGTGACCCTGCACAGGGTTCCCGAGGCTGTAAATCTTTATGGGAGCAAAATGTTTCATCTTTCTCTCACAGAACCACAAGCAGTTTGAACTGCCGCCCTTGAGGTTAGCAGCAAGATTTGTAATATATAGTATACTCAGGACAAATCAACTTGTTGCTATTTTTAATATGCCAGCCCTAGCAGCTCTCTTTGCCGGGCCAATTCAGACTTTCATTTTGGAAAACATGAGAAAATTCATTCAAAATAGTAGCAGTATGTTTGTGCTTATTTATTTATACCCAGCCTGTACATACAGAAGGATTTGAGGTATTTCAATAAAAGATGCTTTACAAAGTATTTTAATTATAGTTTTTCTCTTTTAAGGCTATTGTATAAAAACTACTTACGACTTGGAACACCTAGCTCTAGGTTTCCCAATCTGGCTTCTCAGGAGCATTCTGACTGCACTTCTTTCAACACAGATTTGTTTGTTCTTCTGGTAGTCCATGGTACTTTCAATATTCTTCTCCGATACCATAACTCAAATGTATCAATTCCTCTTTCTTATTAAAAGTTCCTTGTCTAACTTTCACATGCATGTGGCTACTGAAAATACCATGGCTTGGTCAGACACACCTTAATCCTCAAACTGTTATCATTGCTCTTGAACACTTTAAAGAGGTCTTATGCAGCAGATATGCCTAATGCAATACATTGTTTGGAGTCCTGGTGTGGCGCTGTGGGTTAATGCACCAGACTGCAAAGCCATTTGAACTGCAAGGTTGGCAGTTCAATCTCACCAGCTGCTCCTTGGAAACCCTTTATAGGGTCACTATGGTTTGGAACCAACTCAACAGCACTTAACAACAACAATACATCGTTTGATTTCTTTGCTGCTCCTTGCATGAGTGTTGATTATGGATGTAAGCAAAATGAAGTCTTTGACAACTTAAACCTTTTCCCCCATTGTGTTATTTATTGGTCCAGTTGTGAGGATTTTTGTGGGGGCGGGGAAGGAGTTTCTTTTCTTTACATTGAGGTGCAATCCATACTGAAGACTGCAGTCCTTAATCTTCATCAGTAAGTATTTTAAATTCTCTTTGCTTCCAGCATGCAAGATTGTATCACCTGCATATTGAAGATTGTTAATGAGCCTTCCTCTAATCCTGATGCGACATTCTTCCTCATATATCCAGGTTTTTGGATTATTTGCTCAGCATACGGACAGTAAGTGAAAGAATGCAACCTGACACACACCTTTCCCAATTTTAAACCATTCAGTATCCCCTTGTTCTATTCGAACAACTGCCTCTTGGTCAGGTTCCTCAAGAGCACAATGAAGCATTCCAGAATCCCGTTCTTCACAATGTAGGTTACACAAACCAAAAGGGGCGCAGCAGGACAGGGACCCAGACTCCTGGGCCAGTACTCTTACTCACTGTTCTATAAACTGTTTCCAGGCGAAATCCAATTGCTCTTTCTGAGAATTTGTTAACAGAATTAAATTCCTATCAACAAAAGTTTTTCAATGCTATCAGCTGATCATCATAATAGATGCCTGCCTTAGGCACTAAGCAAAACTGTAATGTATGAATCAACAGGAGATGGATTCTTTTCTCTATCTCTGGTTGGTTCACAAAGAACACAGAAAACTACTGCCTCATGGATCCTGATTCAAACAAATCAACTGCTAAAGCATATGAGACATTTGAGGAATATTGCCAGAATAGTTGGTGATATTAAAGAGTCACTGTTATGGCATTATGATTATGGCTTTTAAAGAGTCCTTATTTTTTATGATAAGTACCAAAGTTTTTATGCATGAAATTGTATGGTGTCCCTACTTTTGTGACAATTAGAATGTGCCTGGCTACCACTACCAAATGATTTTGAGTTTTGTTCCACATGTTACTCCCACTCTATCCAGGACCTTCTAAAGTGATTCCTTTCACACAAGTTGGTAATAGTAGCCAGGCACTATCTAGTTCTGCTGGTCCCAGGGTCATGGAGGCTGATGTTCACATGTTTAGGATGGTTGCAGCCTTTCTCAACCAGCTTAGGCAAGAGAATTAAGACCTAATACCATGGCACTGATGTAATGAATACTCTCTCATCCTTATAAATGGACACTGGTTATGAATCACCTTTGAGACAATGGTAAAACAGTGCCTCAAATCACTTTCTGTTCTAGGATTCTGACTTAGAAAGTCATTTTGCACTGACCCCACAGAGGAAAAAAAAAACCTGAATTGCTATTTGCCATTTAGCTTAGTAACTAGTTGTAGAATGATAGGATTATACTACACACTTTTGCCACTAAGATCATGATGCAAAAATTCATACGTAGGAAAAAGCCTGCATGCTTTTAGACAATGGATATAAGTAGAATATCAAGCAATAAAAGGAACAAAGCAGAAGTTCATTTGATCGACACTAGCGTCAGGTACCTAATACCCAAATTCATTGGCATGGAGTTGACTCCAACTCATAGCAACACTACAAGACACAGTGGAACTGCCTCTATGGGGTTTCTAAAGCCGTAAACCTTTATGGGAGCAGACTGCCTCATCTTTCTTCCAGGTAAAGGCTCCCAGAACTTTTGGTCAGCAGCCCAATGACTAACCCACAGCACCACCAGGCTCCTTAAGAACCTAATGTTGTTAAGTGCCATTGAGTCGGTTCTGACTCATAACACAACCCTGTATAGGTTTTCTAAGGAGCGACTGATGAGTTTGAACGGCCAATTTTGTGGTTCAAAGCGACTTTGCAGTCTAGCGTAATTAACCCACAGCACCGCACCACACCACACCACACCACACCACACCATGGGGAGTCCTGGTGTGGCACTTAACACCACCACCACACCAGGGCTCCTAAAAACCTAATTTACTGTTGTTGTTAAGTGCCGTCGAGTCGATTCTGACTCATAGCGACCCTTGAATCCGGTTTCCAAGGAGCAGCTGGTGAGCTTGAACCGCCTATCTTGCAGTTCAAATTAACCTTGCAGTCTGACACATTAACCCACAGCTCCACACCAGGACTACTAACTCAATAGCTTAGTCATTTCCAATTAAGGGAAAGATATCAAAGCTGTTTATCCTAACTGTAATCAATCTGTTACGTTCTATGTTGTTTGTAAGTGTCTTTCAGTCAATTCTGATGCAAAGGGTTTCTGAGACTTTGAAAATCTTTGCAGGAGCAGAGAGCCTCACCATTCTCTCATAGAGCAATTTGGTGGACTCAAACCGACTTTGTGGTTCGCAGCCCAGTACTTTTCCTGTATAAACCATACATATTCCTAAGCAAAGTCTAAAATGATCTAAACAGGATACATTTCATTCAACTGAGATTTGTATTAGCTTCAAAATGACATTTTCAAGAAAAATGACGCACAATTTTCAACCAATTCTCAAAATACATTGTTCCTGTCAATCACTTGGGAGAATAAAAAGATTATTCAGAATTCAAATGTTTTAAGAAACCCTATTCTGAATTATACTTTTTTAACTTCAATAAAAGTGCATGACCAACCCTAGTCTTTAAAGCTATACAAAAATATATTCTGGATTTGTCTGATACAATCTTCAAGGTGAACAAATTGGTTTGTTTTTCCCTAAATAATTGCGAATTTTAAACAGACTAGTAAATTCTAACTGCTGAGACTTTAATATCACAAAACACCCTGCCACGCCCCCCCCCCACCAAAATAACTACTATCCAAAGCATTTGTTCTTGAATTTTGAAACTAGACAAAAAAAATAGCAGTTTGAAACTTGCATAACAACCTAAAGAATGAGGAACTGTTCTGGAATAAAGGGGAGCTGACAATTCTCAACCCGAAATTCCTGGTTCCGCCCAAGTACATTTCAACACAGAGTTAAAACTAGAGAACTAATCACACAATGGCTGTGTAATTCAATTTCCAAAATAAAACAACAAAAGATGAGTTGCGTATTGCTGAGTAATGCTGCTATTGTTAAGTGCTGTTGAGTCGGTTCCGACCCATAACGACCCCATATAGGGTTTTCAGAGGAGCGGCTGGTGAGTTTGAACTGCCAACCTTGCAGCCCAGAGCATTAGCCCGTAGCAACACCAGGACTCCGCTGTGATAATACGCCCCATAAACATAGGAAAAGATTCATTTCTTTACTCTGGTTTCCTAAATTGCAGGCTAATTAATTTTTATTTGTACTGTTTTCATTTTTATTAAATAATCCCGGGTATGAACATTCTTCTACAGTTAGTTGGAATGGAATGGAATGGAATGGAATGGAAAGGCTGCAATGGTTTCAAGCACCTGCTTATTTTTACGTTTGGGTGTCATTTTGCTAACACCATCCATAAAAGCACAGCTCCTCTGCCGGACACAGAAATCCGCAAATCACATCCCATTCATTCCAGGCGGCAGTTGAACACACTGCCCTGAGTCATTCCGGCACCCGACTCCACCCTACAAACTATTCCACTTTTACTCCCATTAGAACGAGTTCAGTCAGGCCACAGGTTCGCTCTCCGCGACAATACAGTAACTGGGATGACAAGAGTGTTTTGACTGCCGCTTTTTAGGAAAGACTTAAAATTTTTCTTCCCAGAGCTTCCTCTACAAGACAGGAACAACAACAAATCGCAGATGACACGGGGCGCACACGCTCCAAACCCAGCCCTCGCCGCTTTCCCACTCAGGTCCGCGCCCACTGCCTGGGATTACCCGACCCCACAAACGCCGACACCACACATGTACACTGCGCACGCGCCCGCACGCACTGCCTGCCCGGTGGTCCCCGAAATTGACAGGAGGAAAGGAAAGGTGGCGGCCGAGAGGGGTCATGTTAAGCTGTGCCCGCAAATTGACTCACCTCCGTAAACGGGTCCATAGCCCCAGGTGCTACGTGTCGACTAAGAGGCGACGGAGATGGTGGTTCAAATTCAGAAAAAGAAAAGATGTGAGTCGCGGTTCTTTGTGTTTGCTGGAAAAAACAAGGAGTTCGGGGCGAGAGAACTCTCCCAACCCCTTCTTCTCGGCTTCCAGTGTCAGACTGCCTCCTGCAGCCGTTCAAATTTGAATTTCAGCGCCCGGAACTTTGCGCATGCGCCCTGGATAGGGGCAGGCGGGTTGTACCTCTCCGCCTCGGCGCTCGATCACGTGGTCTGCGGCCTAGCTTTCTCCTTGGCAGCTACGCCCGGGCCGCCGGGTAGGGCGGATGGCTGGACCCTCCCTGCACTCCAACCTCCGGTCCCCGCACCCGCGGCCCCCGGGCCCGAAGCCCCACCCCCAGTGATCACACAACAGTGTTTAAACCGGTCTCTTGGCACTCTCAGTACTTGGGCGTTCCCGCCTTCCTTCATTCCTAAATATGGGATTGAGAGCACTGGTTGAAGTTTCGCTGACTCTAGCCTACCATAGTTCCCTGCGCATCACACCTATTCCCGACATCTCAAGACTGGAATGCAGGCTGGTCCTCCCTGAGATGCAGGTGTGGGGGGTCCTTGGACACTTGGAGTTAATGACCCACTTATACCCACCTTGAACTCTGGGGTCCTTTCGGGAAAATCAGGCTAATAATAGACTGTATGTGAAGAGTGACCACCCAAAATCCTGTCATGCTTTCCATTTTAAATGCAGCCCAACTGTTGACAGCGTCAGAAACGCCTTCTAGTTTAATCCTTCCTTTTATAGTTGAGAGAAAGGCAACTCTGAGAGATTTAAGTAACCGGTCCAGGAGAAATGAAAATCCCTTGCTGAATTCAAGTTCCCTTTACTACTACTAGACCAAACTGCTTTATGAGCATTCTTTCTGAATTTGAGAATTGTAAATGCATATTACATAGTTATTATGGTTGTTAGGTGCTGTCGAGTTGGTACAGACTCATAAAGACCCTATGCACAACAGCACGAAACACTGCCCGGTCCTCTGCCAACCTCACAATCATATCTATGCTTGAGCCCATTGCTGCTGCCACTGTGCCAATCCACCCTGTTGAAAAAGAGGGGTCTACCTCTTTTTCTCTGCCCTTCTCTTTACCAAGCAATTCCATAGTTGCTGCACCAGATTAATTTCTTGTTTGGCAAGTCTGTGCTAGAGCTTGTAATGACAACAGTTCTTGACATGTTCATTGGAAAAGTAACACCCATGTAGATTACAGGATAACTGTCCAACAGCTGCACAAACCAAAAACTACTCCAAAGTAAGATGTTTCAGTATTTTTAATAGCTTTTTCATATTAGCAGACAGCAGTACAAGAAATATGTCACCAACAATACATTTAACTTGAATTTTGATGTTCTAGGTGTGTATCATTCAGGGTTCTCCAGAGAAAAAGAATCAATAGGATGGAGGTAGGTAGGTAGGTAGATTGATTTATGTTGTTGTTAGGTGCCATCGAGACGGTATGGACTCATAGCAACCTTCTGCACAGCAGAAGGAAACCCTGCCCGGTCCAGGGCCAACCTCACTATTGTTGCTAAGCTTGAGCCCATTGATGCTGCCACTGGAGGTCTTCCTCTTTTTCTCTGACCCTCCACCTTACCAAACATGATATCCTTCTCCAACGACTGGTCCCTCCTGACAATATGTCCCAAATATGAGAGACGAAGTTTGGCCATCTTGGCCTCCAAGGAGCATTCTGGCTGCACTTCTTCCAACACACATCTATTGGTTCTTTTGGCAACCCATGTACTTTCAATATTTTCCTCCAACACCATAACTCAAAAGCATCAATTCTTCTATGGTCTTCCCTATTCACTGTCCAGCTTTCTCATGCATATGAGGTGATTCAAAATACCATGGCTTGGGTCAGGTGCACCTTAGTCTTCAAGCTGACATCTTTGCTCTTCAACACTTTAAAAAGGTCTTGTGCAGCAGATTTGCCTAATGCAATACGTCATTTGATTTCTTGACTGCTGCTTCCATGAGTGTTGATAGTTGACCCAAGCAGAAGTGATTTATATGGAGGAATAAATGCAGACTAACAGGATTGGACTCTTAGAAAGGAGTTATTATATAGTCTTAAGGCACAAATTCCTCTTTTGAGGGGAAACTTTGGTTTTGTTCTTATAGCCTTTCAACTGATTGGATGAGCCACACCCACACGATTGAGGAAAATTTCCTTTACTTAAATTCAATGTATTGGAGATATTCACCACAACTACAAAGTACCTCCACAACACCTAGATTAGTGTTTGATTAAGAAACTGGGTGTTATAGCATAGCCTAGGAGCCCTGGTGATACAATGGGTAAGCACTTAGCTACTAACAGAAAGGTTGACTGTTCCAATCCAACAGCTTCTCCTCAAGGAGAAAAGGCAAGACAATCTGCTTCCATAAAGCTTATAGATTAGGAAATTCTGTGGGGTGTATCTGTTCTATCCTATAGTCTGTATGAATTGATACGACACAACACAACAACATTGTCAAATTGACACAGAAAACTACGGATCACAGGTTGTAAAGAAATGAGTTCTCTAGGTGTGGGTAGGAAGAATTTAATTTGGGTTCTGGCTTTACCAGGACCATGGGGAAGCTGTAGGCAAATCATTAAACTCACTGCTTTTTAACTTTTTGAGTAGTCATGGACTGAAACTGAAATTCTCCATATAAAAATGCCCATTCAAACATAAAGTACGTAACAGAGGATCTCATGAAGTTCCAAGACACCAGGTTAAGAATCTCTGATTTGACAATTTTGAATTTTAGTTTACTTGTTGTGGCCCTGTAGAACAAGCACTAGACTGATTACCGGAAGGTTGGCAGTTCAATCCCACCAATTGGTCTTTGAAACCTTATACATGTTGCTAATGAGTCTGAACCGACTCTATGGCACACAACATTTATAAAACAGGACTATTCCTCTGCCCTGCTTTACCTGTTAGGGTCAGATGAAAAATTGAAAGATTTCAAAGTATTTTGTGATAAACAGTAAGCACTGCACAAGTAGATGTGTAGAATTATTAATATTTAATTCAAAATTTGCTATTTTATATATCAAAGGTGCTTTTTTTATATATTTCATTTTGCTGTTGAGGATATACCCAGCAGAATATACAGTGCTTGAATTTTTTTTTAAGTTCAAGACAAGACAGGTGTGTTAAATAACATTGGAAAATGAGTCATTAGGAACTTATGTAGCCGTTGTGCCTACAGGCTTTTGCTTCTGTAAGCCTTAATTTCCTTAAAATAACTACCTCACAGTGTTCTAGTCAAGACTAAAAGATAAATAAAACAGTGCAATATTTTGTTGTTGTTAAATACTGTTGAGTCATTTTCCGACTCAGAGCAACCCTATATAGGGTTTCCAAGGAGCAGCTGGTGAGCTTGAACTGCTGACCTTGTGGTTCAAACCAACATTGTATGTAGTCCAGCACATTAATACAAAGCCCTACACCAGGACTCCAGCAATGCAACATAGCCACTCAGAATATTTAGTTCATCTTTCCTCACCATCCCCCTATGTCTTTGGTTTTTACCCTTAGAATCATAAGGAGCCCTGGAAGCATGATGGGTTATGGGTAAGGCTGCTAACCACAAGGTCAGCAGTTTGAATCTACCAGCAGTTCTGCAGGAAAAAGATGAGGCTTTCTGCTCCTGTAAAGACTGACAGGGTTGGAAACCCGATAAAGGGTCACTCTGAGTCGAAGCCAACATGATAGCATGCAGCAGCATAGTATAATATTAGCGACCACCACAATAAAATTGCTGTTGACTCATGGCGATTCCATATGTTACAGAGTAGAACTGCCCCATCGATTCTCCAGCCACTCCTCTGAAACCTGGGGTCCTGGTGTGGCACCATAGGAGAAGCACTAGACCCCAAGGTCGTTTTGAACTGCAAGGTAGACAGTTCAAACTCACCAGGCACTCCTCAGAAATCCTACACAGGGTTGTTCTGAGTCAGAAAATGACTCGATGGCACTTAACAACAACAACTGCCACCTCTGAAACCCTATTGTTAAATGCCCTTGAGTTGGTTCTAACTCATAGTCACCCTATATAGGGTTTCCAAGGAGTAGCTTGTGGGTTTGAACTGCCAACCTTGCAATTATCAGTCCAGTGCTTATCCGACAGTGCCATACCAGGATTCCCTGAGACCCTTTACAAGGTTGCTATGAGTCTGAACTGACTTGATGGCACTTAATAACAACAAATCTTAATAGATAGGAGCCCTGGTGGCACCACTGTTAAGTGCTCAACTGCTAACAGAAAAGTGGGCAGTTCAAATCCACTTTTAGCTCCATGGAAGAAAAAATATGGCAATCTGCTCCTGAAAAAATTATAGCATAAGAAACCCTATGGGGCAGGTTTTACTCTATCGAGTAGGGTCAGTATGTGTTAGAATCGACTGGATGGCACACAACAACCATGTTAATGGGAGCCGATAGCCAGGCATTTCTTTTGCTGTACTACTAGGTGTGTTCTAACCACCTTTAGATTAGTCAATATCCGTTAAACACATATTCTGTGCCAGTAATTGTGCTAGATCCTCAACTCCACTCTCCTTGTTTTTGTTCAGTGCTGCGATGTCAGTTCCGAGTCATAGTGACCCTGTAGAGGGCTTCCAAGGAGCAGCTGGTGGGTTTGAACCGCCAACCTCGTGTGCAGTGCCACACCAGGAGTCCACTCTCCCAGGGCACTACAATTGCCTCCTCTATGTGTCCTGGCTTCCAGTCTTAGCCCCTGGTGCTTCATCCTCCAATTTATAACTTAGAACTATCTTCTCCTTTTAAAAATGTGTTATGAAATACTTCTGTTTAAAAAAAATAAAGTAGAGGATTAATAAATTACATAACCATAACTACCACCTAGTTCTTATAAAATACAACATTACATATATGTAAAATTGAAGCCTCCTATATGTCCTGGTGTGGCGCTGTGGGCTAATGCGTCAGACTGCAAAGTCGTTTGAACTGCAAGGTCATGGTTCAAGCTCACCAGCTACTCATTGGAAACCCCATACAGGGTCACTATGGGTCGGAACTGACTCAACGGCACATGACAACAACAACAACAACAAATTGTTGTTGAGCTCAATCACCTTGAGCTCAATCCTTGAGCTCAATCACCTTCCTGCAAGCTTTCCTGGTTTTGACGCTTATTAGTCC